AGTTAGAGCTAAAAAACTCATCAAAACATTAACAAGTTAAAAAAACCTGAATTTAGTATTGTTATTTGGCCATAACTTCTTTAGATTTTAATATTTTTCGAATCTGAATTTAGCATGAAATTTCCAAGAAAATGATATGTATCATATTTTTTTAAAATATTTTTTTTTAGGCCTTACGGCGATTTTTAAAAAATATATTTAAATTTTTTTTTTTTTTCATGATCTGATAGTTACTTTTGAAAACATTTATGCCTGTTTCGAGGATTTTTGTCAATAAAGACGACATTTTCCTATTTTCCAGGAATGTTAAAAATGAAAATATGCGATAAGAAACCAATTTTGAAAGAGAAAAAAACATGAATAACTAAAGCTTTTACAGGGTAATCTATAGAGAGAGAGGGCAAGTGTTTTTTGATTTCTGAAATGAATTCAATGCTTTCTCTAACCAGGCTGGAGCATACTTTTCACTTTTTATGCAAATACCATGTATGTACACGTATATATATATATATATATTACCATGTATGCATGTAAACTGTACAATATTTTTCATTTCTTATAACAAATACTTTATCATGTATGTACACATATATACCACATTGTTAACCATTAACTTTAAGACCTCCGAATTCTTCTGACCCACAGAGATTCCGCCCTCCTAAACCCTGCGCCATGTGTACAATAATGGGGTTTGAAGCCAATCACTTTTCCCTCAGCAAATACTGTGGATCTGGTAGACTGAGCTCACCTTAGATCTTCAAGTTGATCTCCAACAATAACCTCTGTTTCACCTGCACTCAGGCCCACGGCAATAGTTATAAGTGCAAGCTCACTCTCACGAACGGAACCTCTAGAGTGTGTACCAAGGGATGCTTGCAACATGGAGTCCCTGTGAACAAGAGGGCTTGCATGCACAGCAACCAGGCCCACTTTGTCACAATCCCCAAGGTCAGTGCCAACCAGTCTGTTCCCTTGGTCGAAACCTTGAACCTGGGTGGGATGAAGATAGGAATCCAGTATGACACTGGCTGTCAACTCAGCCTCATCTCCAGGTCAACCATACCTCAATACATGTACTCCCTGGGACCCATGTACAAGATGAAGGTGCTGACCTACTTGGGGAAAGCAAGAGTTATCCTCACCACTGAGGTCAAGCTGAAGCTACTCGGGAAAACCCTGAGGCTAGCGACAATAGAGGACGACCTCAACAACGGTTCTGGATTTTCACTTTCAATTCCTCACAAGTGGAGGTCGTTCACGGGGACCTCAACCTCACAGCATACAGGCCAAGTAGAAATTCTACTTGGCACGTCTGTTTGAGCGGGGCATTTAGTATTTTCTCTCTCTCTCTTGGTCTCTGTCTATCTTTCTGTCTTTCTAACCGTTCGGCAGCCCGGTCCGGCATTTCTGACAGAGAGAGAGAGAGAGAGAGAAAGAGTGCTACGGCAAAGAAAATAGTTCTTAATGAAATCGATGAATTATTAACTTAAACTAACAGTAAAAGACATTATTTTAATAAATTTACATGTCTGCAATAACTTTTGATATTTAATGTACTTTTTAATCAGAAAATGTATCATGNGGAAGTTAGGAGGTGAAGCAGGAGAAACATCAATTTCTTCTAGAAGAAATCAGGAGGAGAACCAGAAAGCTTGGGTTAAGAACCGGAGCAACAGGAAAGGAAACAGGAGGGGAAGCAGGAGCTTCAGAGAGAAATCGGGAGGTCAGGAAGAGAAACAGAAGGAGAACCAAACACTGAAACCTAACCTGAACCTCACGCCAACCCCAGCCTCTGTCAGATCTGACCCTACAACCACTCCAATTATTCCCACCAGTCCAGAATCACAGAACAACTCCATCACCCCCGTCGAATCAGAAATTCCAGGAAGAGATTCAGGGGAGAAAGCAGGAGCAGGAAATCTAGCTCCAGCTTCAAAACCCAGACCAGAGCCTGCACAGGATGAGCTCCACCCAGATCTCAACAAAATCAATCAATAGAACCATACCAAGCATCAACGCAGGAATCAACTATTTAAACATTTTAATTTTTTTTTAGAAAACAAGCAGGAAAAAGTTTCAATTCAAGTAAATTAAATTTTCCCTAAAAAAAATAGAAAAAAAACCTTAAAATTAACGATTCTTGAAGTTGAAGCAGTCACTCACATTTCTATTTAAATATTTAATTTCTTATTTTTTTTCCATTCAAATTAAACAATGATCTTTTCTAGTTTCATTAAATCCTTCATTCGAACTATTTCATTTTAATTCATATTCAAAATTCATTCTCAATTTACATATTAATTTTATCTTTTCTTTGATTCTTCCTTGAAATTACTTTGTCAAAGGCACAGGAAAATGTGCAACTCGATTTCAATTTTACTTCACTGTTTAATCTCTTCAACTATTTGCTTACTTAACACAACATTAAGTAATGTACCTCGTGATAATACTTCAGTTTATTTCAATCAATCAATCTAGTAACTATCAATCATTCAAACTAAATGTTGTAAACAAATTAATGGTTATGTTTTCATTCTCGTATGTTACCCTAACATCCTCAAACCCCGCCTGGGGCCAGTGTTAACCATTAATTTTAAGACCTCTGTAAAATGTTGTCTTCAACTTGAATCTCCTCTCGGAGACAGCCAAACCAAATTTTCAGCCCGCAATTCCCTTTGTACTCCGCCCTACGGAGCTTAAAACATTTTTGTTATTGTGAAATCATTAAAGTTAAGCAAGAATATTTTCATAAGAAGCATTAGTGAACTTCGTTAACTATTCAACTGTAATTTTTCAGAAGTTAAAAAAACGTATTTCAATACTGATCAACAATAAGTCTCCCCCGATCACACCTTAATATTTTGTAAGATTTTTTTCCATTATTAATATTCATTATAACATTGTACAAGTAACCATGACCTATAATCTATGTTATTTTTTAGGAAATAAAGCTTTTGTTATCGATTTTCTTGAGACGGGGTTACTCTGTTGTGTGTATTTGCAGCCGAGCGGAAAGGAATTATCCGGACTGAATATATTTCCCTCCCCGGAGTTCCGACGGGCCTTTTAAACCAAATTCATCTAGCGTGTTGCTGTTATCTGTCAACAACGGGATATCAATCAATCTTCTGGTTACTCAGTCAAAACTTCTGTTAATTAATCAGTTATCTGGTTCATTAATCCATTATCAAATTTATCAATCAATCATCCAGTTTTTCAATAAATGACCTAGATAATCAATACACAATCTGGTTGGTAATCAATCCTTAGGTTTATCGATTAATCATCCGGTTTATCGATCATTTATCCGGTTAATCAATTAATCATCCGGTTTATCAATCAATCATCCGGGTTATCAATCAATCAATATATTAACTGGTTTATCAATCAACTAATCGGTTTATCAGCCATCAAGTTTATCATTAAGTTATCAATCATCCGGTTTTTCCATCAATCATCTGGTTTGTCAATCAATCATTGAATTTATCAATGAATCATCCGGTTTAAAAAATTGCTAATTATTAGAAAGCAAGGCCGGGGACAAAAACTCTGAGCCAACTCAGGTTACTATTCAAGGTTCCTTTCCGGAAAGAGATAATTTTTTTCTCTTTATTTTCTACCTGTAATCTAGGAGTCATTATCAGTGTATGTATACTTAGTATGGGCTATTTATTTCAAATGAGCTCGGAGACAGAAAAATAAAGGTCACTTTGAAGAGGTTTACAATAGGGGTCAATGGAAGTATGAATAAAAAAACAGGGTATTGGTTATTAAATAGGTCTATTGTTTAATAAATAAAAAATGGGAACCGACGGAGGTAACATTTTAGAGGTTCCAAGTCTCCGAGAAGAGATATCCGTAATCTGACTTCATATCCTGCTCCTAGGTAATTGGAACCGGCCATCATCTGTAAAAGAAAGGAAAATATAATGTAATAAGTTGATTTCTTCATTTTTAAAAGTATCAAAAAAAGCACTTTTCGGCACCCTGTTTTAGCATCAAAAACTTGCCTATTTTTTTCATTCATTTTATGGGCTATAGGGAGTATTTTTTTTAAATTGGCTATTTTTGTCCAAGGAGGCCGGAGATACAAAATTGGAGCCAACGAAGGTCACTTTTCAGAGGTTCAAAATCTCCGGAGAGAGATATTGGTAATCTGACTTCATATCCTGCTCCTAGGTAATTATATAACATTATTTTTAAAATTAGAACCAGCCACCATCTATAAAAGGGAGGTGTCAAAAAAAAAATAATATAAACACCCCGTAGCCCATGAAAAAATTAATTTTTTGAAATTTTTTTTTCATCAATGTGTTAGATAATAATATAAATAATATTTTATCTTTTCTTTTACTCCAACATTTTTTATCAGAACTTGTCATTTTTGCAATTTAAAAAAAATCAAAAAAACGCAATTTTTGACACCCTGTTTTGACATCGAAAACTTGATAAAAAAAAAAATTTTTTTTGTGTATTTTAGGGGTCATTGGGAGTATATATTTAAAAAATGGACTATTTTTGTCCAACGAGGCAGGAGATAAAAATCAGAGCCAATGGAGGTCACTTTTCAGAGGTTCCAAGACTCCGGGAAGAGATATTGGTAATCTGACTTCATATCCTGCTCCTAGGTAATTATATAACATTATTTTTAAAATTAGAACCAGCCACCATCTATGAAAGGGAGAAAAATGCCTAAAAAGTGTGATTTGTCGAAAAAAAATAATATTAACACCCCGTAGCCCACAAAAAAATTAATTTTTTGAAATTTTTTTTTTTCATCAATGTGTTAGATAATAATATAAATAATATTTTATCTTTTCTTTTACTCCGACATTTTTTATCAGAACTTTTCATTTTTTGCAATTAAAAAAAAATCAAAAAAACGCAATTTTTGACACCCTGTTTTGACATCAAAAACTTGATGAAAATAATTTTTTTTTTGTGTATTTTAGGGGTCAATGGGAGTATATATTTAAAAATGAAGTATTTATGTCCAACGAGGCGGGAGATAAAAAATTGGAGCCGACGGAGGTCACTTTTCAGAGGTTCCAAGACTCCGTAAAGAGATATCAACAATCTGACTTCATATCCTGCTCCGAACAAATTATATGAGTCTACATTCAAAAATAGAACCGGCTCCTATTAATATTGAAAGAGATATTGCAAAATGTCTTACTTGCCACGGGTTCTTTTTTTTCAAAAAGATAAGGTTATGAATGTTGTCTTAAATGGTTTTTTTTATCCAGAGAAATAACATGAATGTTTTTTAAACTCAGATTTTTCGACCAATAAACGTGTTTTCTCTTATAAAAACTATTAACGATCGTTAATGAAGGGGCCTCATTAACTGTTGTTAACAAAGGGTTGATGTTACTGGTTGTTTACAAAGGTTTGTTTTCACAAACGATAATTTTAAAAACAATCCTTTGATTTTCATTTTTTCTTCGTCTTTCTTAAGCCGAAAAGATCACTTTTAAAAAAGAGAAAACAATCCATCCTTACTTAATACTTACTACCCAGCCTTTGAATCCTTAATATATTATATTTTACTTATTGTAGCAAGAAAATTTAATTGATAGGTATAGTGCATTGTGCATTAAAGTGTCCACAGGTGAACAATTATTTTAAATAGATGAAAACAGCTAATTCTTCTCATTGTTATGTGTACTGTGAGCATTTCATATATCATTTTCCATTGAAATATTTGAAAAATATCAAAAATTAACTGAGGTAAGTTCACAAAACCTCCCAAAAATGCACTTTTCTGAACAATGAGCATTTTTGACGATTTGTTGGGGCCTGCCTCATTAATTTGAAAAAAATGTCTAAAATTTTGACGGATTTGAATTACCTGATGGAAAATGGAGAAATTGATTTGTAATATTATAATTTTGTGAATTTTTTTATCTTCGAAGGAGATTATCTTATTGAAGTTAAGAGCTAACGACCTAAACTTTTCAGGAATTATTCACATTATGTAGTGTAATTGAAAAAGTTACCGCACTCATTGCAAGCACCTTGTTAAAAAATTAGTGGACACCTTATTGTACATTTTGCAACTCAAATTGAGAGACTACAACAAGTTTGCATGGCAGCAATACTTTTGCTGCTATTTAATTTTAGTACATATCTGTGTTCGGAGCAAAACAATTTCCTTTCACAAAGGGGTTTATTTTTACATTATTGTAGTTGTCTTTTTAAATTTTAAATAATTACTTCTCTGGATTAATATAGTGAAAAGAAATTGCATGTTCACTGCAGCATTCAAAACCTGAAACTGAAACTGTTAATATCTAATAATTATAATATTTTAAAAAATCTAAAAGACATGAAAAGGGTCTGATGACCAAATTTCAAGTAGCCCTTAAACATTTAACATCAATAAAGATATTTTTGTTTTTCTGTTTTCAAAAGTTATGACCTGTCTTAATTTCCTTCATTGTTTCTACTGCCTTAATCCATAAGTCACAATTCAGATAATCGCGAGTAATTGAAAATTATCAATTATAGATAGATTCACATGAATATTCTCAGACAACAGTTACAAGGTTACTGTTCTGAAGTGGGTATGCTACTTTTTAAATGCAGATTTACTTAAAATCATGTCAACAGAACCCTTAACAATTTTTTTTATAAACTGTCAACCTTGAAATTCTTTTGGTTTTTTAGCCAAGACACCAGTGATCCAAGATTTATTGTTAGCAGTCATCATTTTCCAAAAATTCATGGGGAAGAAGGTTTCTTCATCTCTCTAGAACAAAATATTTTACATATATTAGGGTTTCCATGATAAGCCTTATTTTGTAATTACTTAATAAAAAGCATCCCTTTAAAAAAATTTTCAAAAAATTTGTTAACTAAATGGCAAGCCTAATATATTCATGGAGCACTTATTTGATTGCAATGGAAACACTGTTCTTCAGTTCTTAAAGGGAGTGTTTGCGAAAAATGAAAGGGGGTATAGGCTTAATGCGATAAAAAAGCGCTTTTGAACGCCACTAATCTTACTTCTATCTCTTGCATCTATAAGGAGAAAATTGTTAAAGACGTCTCATACCGAATAACTTAGCGCCCATACAAATTCAGAAAATTGCAACATACAACTTAGACCGTAAAAAATCAATTTAATTTCAAACAAATCATTCAGATATTACAACATATAGTCATCGATTATCTTTCGCCACATTTGTATAAAGTTTATATTTTATAATATTTTATTTTTTTAAGAAAACGTTTTTAACAGTTTTCGAAAAATGTGAGTGGTGCGCACTTAGATAGTTGCGCAAGAGACAAGAGAAATAATCAAATTTAGAACAAATTAATTTAAAAATATTATAAAATATAAACTATATACAAATGAAAGATAATCGATGACTATAGGTTGTAATATCTGAATGATTTGTTTGGAATTAAATTGATTTTTTTAACGGTCTAAGGCAAATGTTGTAATTTTCTGAATTTGTATGGGCGCTAAGTTATTCGGTACAAGACGTCTTTAACAATTTTCTCCTTATAGACGCAACAGTTATAAGTAAGATTATTAGCGATCAAAAGCGCTTTTTTATTGCATTAAGCCTATACCCCCTTTCATTTTTCGCGAACACTCCCTTTAACTAGGGTTGGGCATGTTTCAACTTTTAAAAGAGGTTTCGTTAATGGTTAGTTCCAACCATTTTAAAAATAAAATCTCAGGTAGCCGTTAGTTTTAGAGGGTAAGAACAAAACTTTTTTTTAAAAGTTACCATTAGTTAAGAATCTCAACTTTTTAAATGTCGTTAACAGAAATGTTCAACAACTGTTATTACACAATTAACGGTTTATGAAATCATTGGCGCGGCTGCTAATGTTCTATTGCAGTATTAACTGCGCAAACACAGAAGGCAGCATTAAAAAACATCAAAACACACAAAAAATAATATTTTTAACCTTAATGCAATTCTAAGCGAAAAAATTCACTGCAGTAAATAAATTCCGTTTCCTAATTGTTTTCAACTTTTTTTTGAATAGCTAATCCGTTTCAATAACGGTTTAAAAATGGATGGTTTTGCTGTTTGTTAACAGACTCTTCCGTTTATTTTCAAAAATCTCCATTTCATTGATTAATCTTTTCATAACTAGAAGTTGTTTGTTATTTTGAAAAATACATATTTTTTAAACCTTTAAATCTCTTGAGCTAGTGGGTTTGACGCCTACATTTTGGAGACATATGCCAAGCTCTAAATCTTCAAATCCACTCTAAAAAGATTGTGTTTATCTAATATAGAAAAATATTTTCATAATAATGAGTTGTTAAATCTCAAATTTTAATTTAAAAATGTAAATCTCATGTTACAACTGCAGTTCAGTTATTTCTAAAAACATTTAAATTAAGTCTTCGGTCTCCAAATAACACGAAGAATCACTTCCAGTATATATATTTAGTTATAAGGAAACAAAACATGTGAATCCACCTTGATAGCTAAAAAACACATGAATTGGTAGAGGGAGGGGGGGGCATGCGGCCATGAACCCCGCAATATCCTGTTCCAACCCAGGTAGTTAGCAGAACCCTGTTCGAACCCCGCAGAAGCCTGCTCCAACCCCACGAAAGCCTGTTCGAACCCCGCCAAAGACTGTACAAAAATTATCTTTTAATAATAATTGACTTTAAAAAGAAAAAAATTCAAAAATTTAAACGTGCGGGAATAGATAACAAAATTCTTTTAGCTTCAAGATAAATATCAATGCTTTAAAACTCGTTTTAAGCGTAAAATTTTGTCTTGCTAGATTTGATAATTACTTTAAATGAGCTGACCGCTGTGATAAAGAGGTAATAATTAATATCTTCCATATAAATGTAAATTGCAACTAATTATTTATCCAAAAAACTGATTCCGATTCATCAAAAGTGTGTATGAAGTATATAATTTTGATATTAATGTTTTTTCTAAAATTGCTTTGACCACTTTTAATTTAGACTTTTATATGAAATCATTAATTTTGTTGATTAAATTCAGATTTTTTCTTTATTCGTAAATCCTTCCGATATTTATAAATTTCTTGGCACTTTGTGTAACTCCAGCGCCAAGACAAAATTCTCGAAATTGACTATCTCTAGATGAATTCTAATAAATTCCAATGATTATTTAATATATCTTCTGCTCCCGGACGTTGAGATTTTTTAAAATTTTATTTAGTGTTTATTAGATCTATGCAATTTTTAAAAAAAGTTTGAACAAGAGCAGTCTTTTGCGGGGTTCGAACAGGCTTTCGTGGGGTTGGAGCAGGCTTCTGCGGGGTTCGAACAGGGTTCTGCTAACTACCTGGGTTGGAACAGGATATTGCGGGGTTCATGGCCGCATGGCCCCCCCTCCCTCATTGGTACTAGAGAGAATGCTGCGTCTTGTTCTAACTCTCTCTTCTTTCTTCCCGGCTTTGTGTAAGGAGGCCGCCGGGTAACGTCTTCCACAGTACCCCCCCCCCCCAGCGTAGAGGCTGGAGGTTGACCGGAGGACAAGCGTATAAGCTCGTATTAATCTCCTATTATCACTGGAGTAAGTTTAAAAATCACTCTTTCCTCCTAGGAAATATAACATTCGAGGCTGAGGCTGCAGTCTTCCTTGGTCTCCCTCGAGGATGAGCTGGGACCGGAGGAGGAGGATCTGGTGGAACCCTACGAGAAGGACGTCCACAACGTGGTGGTGAGGCTGGTTTTTCTTCATCACAGGTTATCGCTGGTTTCAATCTCTGCACAGAAACCACCTCTACTCTACTCCCAACCTGGAGACGGAAGGTTCTCTGGGATCGAGATAAAACTTGATAAGGTCCTTCATACAGAGGAGATAGAGGGGGAACATGTCCATCCTTGCAAACTAAAACCATTGGACAAGTTGCTAGAGCTATGGGTATCTGTTGGGGAAGGTCTGGAACCTCGGGAGTGTTGTGACGAGCAGGAACTGGACGAAAACCTGACATTGAGTTTTTAAGATCCTCGTAGAACTGGTTTTACAGAGGATCCTGACTCTGTAAGAACTGATGAGGTAGGATTAGATCTGAACCATAAACAGCTTCTGCAGAAGACCAGGCTGAGTCTTCCCTCGGAGCAGAAGGGAGACCCAGGAGAACCCAAGGTAAATGACTATACCAGTCAGAAGCTGCCAGCCGAGCTCGTAGAGAGTTTTTAAGCTGCCTGTGAAACCTTTCAACCATACCATTGGCTTGTGGATGAAAAGCCTTGGTTTTATTGTGGATGATACCTAGCTAAGAACAGATGGCTGACCACAAGGAGGAGGTGAACTGGGCTCCTCTGTCACTCGAACCGTGCAATCCAACCCTGGAACAAGGCGGAGGCACACTCTGTTGTTGAAATACCTTGAAGAGGAATTGCTTCCGCCCAGCCAGTAGATCTGTCCACACAGGTCAACAGGTACGTGAACAACTAAATCCACGTGAACATGTGAAAATCTTCGAAACGGAACAAGGATTTTCTCTGGTTGGAGCTGAACATGGTGAGGATTTTCCACGCTGGCAGGAAAGACAGGCACAACACCAATCCCTTACATCATTAGCTAGCCCACGCCAGACAAATCTTGATGATATCAATCGTCTTGGGGCTCTTGTCCCTGGGTGAGATAAGCTGTGTAGGGCGGAGAATATCTTGAAACGTTGAGAAGAATGTACTAGTGGGCGGAGTACTTGTGTTCTGGCATCACAGATTAAGGAACCGTTTTTCATAGGTACAGAGACAAGGCGGAGAGTTGGAGATCTCTGTAGACGGAGAACTTCTGGACAGGAACGTTGTTCCGATGCTAGTACTTCAAAATTAATACCTTTGGCGGAGGTTGGAAAGGGTGAGGGTAGAGAAGAATCCAACACCTCTGACACCTCCGACACCTCCAACACCTGACCACCAGGGGGATGGGCAAAAGGCGGATGACAAGAGGGAGGAGGAGATGGATGGGACAGATTATCTGCCACAACATTCGCAGATCCTGGAGTATGGCGGATGTCACTGATAAATTTCGGATGTATAAGACAACTGGCGTTGTTGGCATGCTGACCAGGGCGGAGAAACTCGGAACAGAGCTGAAACCAGGGGGAGATGATCTGTTATGATGTGAAACCTTCGTCCTTCTAACATGAAACGGAAGTGGCGTAGGGCGAGGAAAACTCCCAATAATTCTCTGTCAAAGGGGGAATACTGTTGCTGGGTGGCGGAGAGTTTGGCGGAGAAGAAGGCTAGAGGTCGCCAGCTGGTTTTCTCGTGCTGTTGCAGGACGGCTCCAACGTGTGAGGCGGAAGCGTCAGTTACCAGGGATACTTCGGCGGACGGAGAAGGATGAGTCAGCGGAATGGCGGAGGAAAGGGTGGATTTGGCTTTCTCGAATGCTTCTTGGTGTATTTCTGACCCGTGTAATGATTTAGGGTTACCAGCCAGGGCATCTGTGAGAGGACGGAGAATCTTTGCAATACCAGGGAGAAATCTTCTGTAGAAATTGACCATGCCAAGGAATCTCTGTAAGCTACGTACATCTTGAGGGCGAGGTTGCAGGAGGAGTGCTTCAACATGACGGCGGAGTGGGATGATTCCTGTGGCAGTGATCTTGTGACCAAGATAATCAATTTCTGGGAGAGCAAAACTGCATATCTCAAGGTTGATAACCAAACCATTCTGTACCAGGAGCTCCAGGACAACTCAGAAATGTTTCAGGTGAAGGCCTCGACCACGGCTCGCCACCAGAATATCATCAAGATAAATAAAAACATAAGGTAAACCTTTGAAGATCCGATACATGAGGCGTTGGAAGGTTTGTGCAGCGTTTTTAAGGCCAAAGGGCATGGATAGGAACTCAAACAAACCAAAAGGTGTAACAATGGCGGTTTTACAAATGTCTTCACTGTTCATTGGCACTTGATGGTAGCCTGTCGAAGTCCAGCTTTGAAAAAACTGTACAATGTTTTAAATTGTTTGTGAAATCACGGATATTTGGCAAAGGACAACGATCAGGCTTGGTCACATTGTTCAAACGGCAATAATCGCAGCAAGGACGCCAAGAACCATCTGTTTTAGGAACCATGTGCAGTGGAGAGGCCCAGGGACTGTCGGAACAGTGTACAATTCCCGCCTCTTCCATCTAACGAAACTCGGTTTTTGCAGACTCCAACTTCATTTGATCCAATCGGCGGGCACGGGCAAAGAGAGGTTGACCTTCAGTTTCAATGACGTGTTCTACCTTGTGACCTGGAAGTTGACCAGGTTGGCGAGGTTCCCAAGTAGCAGGGAATTCCTTCAGAAGGGAGGAAGCATCAGGGGCAAGTTTGAAAACTGAAGCAACGGCGGGATCGGCGGTTGACATGACTGGAGAGGATAGGGGCTTCATTGATGCACATTCCAGAACCTGTCGTTTAGAAGCATCTACCAGAAGGTCGAATTCAGCCAGGAAATCAGCCCCCAGTATAGGACGATCAACATCTGCAAGTAGAAATGAGAATTGGAATTGGCGGTTACCAAACTGGAGCGGGATAGTTCTAGAACCCCAAGCTTTGGTAGGACGACCATCAGCCATTAACAAACGAGGACCTGTGGGAGCAGATGATGAATGGTGTGGAAAAACAGAACGTGATGCACCTGTGTCGACAAAAAAGTTGCGGTTGGAGAGGATATCCTGGAGGTAGATAAGAAAACCGCTGACGGGAAGACTGTTTCTCCTGCCCCAGCTGGTCCTGGAGTCTGGCTTTGGTGAACAGGAGAACTATCAGAACGTTCCCTCCCTCGAGCGCGAGAAGGAGACGTTGAAGCTGCAGCTAGCAGAGAATCGACTGCTTGTGCTCTACGAGCATCCCACAACTTAGCGGTGTGTAACGCCATCTCACTGGGGTTCTTGAAATCCTTGGCCACCAGGTGGTCACTCATCTCTACAGGCAACCTCTCAAGGAACAGGACCAGGAACAGGCTTCCAGGTACTTCATCTTCAGGGAGTAAGGCCAGCATGGCGTCCATCATGGCTGTGGGGCAGCGGTCGCCTAACGCAGGCTGGTGAATAACTTTTGATACCCTCTGCTAGCGAGACAAGGTATAAGAGGCTACCAGTTTGGCCTTCAAATCCTTGCAGGTCGTAGAGGATGTAGAGGACGAACTAAGAATAAGGCTACGCACCGATACCATGATACTCTACGGGAGTTTTTGCACCACATGATCAAACTTCGTTCGTGATTGGGTAATCTGAGCATTTCGGAACACAGATTTGGCATGAATGAACCAGAGGTCAGGGTTGTCAGACCAGAAATCGGGAAGCTTGACGGCTACCTTCGTGACATACTGTGCAGCAGGGGTTGCAGACTCTTCAGTCATTTTCACTAAACTTATACTGGATTCGCGGTGTATATGTTCAAAGTCGGGGTCACCAATATGGAGGACGGAGCGTCGGTCTCCAAATAACACGAAGAATCACTTCCAGTATATATATTTAGTTATAAGGAAACAAAACAGGTGAATCCACCTTGATAGCTAAAAAACACATGAATTGGTACTAGAGAGAATGCTGCGTCTTGTTCTAACTCTCTCTTCTTTCTTCCTGGCTTCGTTGTAAGGAGGCCGCCCGGGTATCGTCTTCCACAATTTAAAAAATGCTGGTTAATGGCCGTAATAATATTAATCTCTTCAAAAATCACTAACCCATGTCAATCATACAAAAATGCCAACCTCTGTAAAAGTAGTTTTATAAGCATCAAGATAGTTATAGAAAGCAAAAATGTAAATAAAACATTTTATAATTTACAAATTTAAAATGAAACAAATATACTTACATCTTTATCAGCGCCTTAGATCCGTGATAAATAAAGATGTCTTCAAAATCAAGAAGCAAAAAGATTTATTGATAAGAGTCATATTGTTAAATCATCCTTAATTGTTTGTTTTTACAATTCAACTTAAACAAATCAATTATAAATGACAAATGGCTGATTTTTGATAGGAAAAAAATTCTTATTCTGTTTAAAATCTGAATAATTTGTGAATCTCAGGATCAAGCAGTGATCTTCATCTTAATTAAACCCAGGAATTTATTTAATTCATCTTTGATATTTATTCTCAAATTTAAAGGGAGTGTTCGCGAAAAATGAAAGGGAGTATAGGCTTAATGCGATAAAAAAGTGCTTTTGATCGCTACTAATTTTACTTCTATCTGTTGCATCTATAAGGAGAAAATTGTCAAAGACATCTCATAACGAATAACTTAGCGTCCATACAAATTGAGAAAACTGCAACATACGACTTAGACCGTAAAAAATCAATTTAATTTAAAACAAATCATTCTGATAACGTAGTTGTTGATTTTTTTATGTAACACATAGTAACAAACAATTCCCAGTTTTATTGGACCCATATGAAGTCCAAATATGAATGGTAAGGCAATTTTCGCACTTTAATGTTGAATTTACAGATTTTTCAGAAATCAATTCATTTTTATAAGTCATTTAGCAAATAATTTTGCATACCCTCCTTAATTTTGTTAACAACGACCTATTGTTTAGCTTAAAAGGGGATATTTAAAATTATGTATAGTATACAGTCCCTTTAAAATTGAATGCACCTTTATTTACCACGGCATAAAGTCTGGTTAGGGAATGCACTTGTCACCAGCAGTTCAACAGCTTTCCTTAAATAATTTATAATTTTACAAGGAATAGATTAATTCTGAATATATTTTATTACTAGGTTTGAGATCCAACAATCTAACAAGAGAATGTTATTGGTTTAGGACCTTCCTCCTAAGAAAAATGAATATAAAAACAGAGATTTTTTGTCCTCAGGACATGCTGATTTGGGTTGTAATGAACAAATCTTGGAATTTTTCTCTTAAAAAAGTTTGGTGATCTAAGAGTCTTTATTGATCTGCCAGAGGTTGTAATCTGGCTGCACTTTCATCCGTTCTTGGCGTTCTTAGTTGAAGAACGGTTGCATCCCTCTTGTTCTGTTTTTAATCATGAACGTTTCCATCCCCCGTTCTCTTCTTAGTAACGAAGTTTTATAGAAAAGAGTTGGTTAAAAATTAAAAAAATTACGATTTTTAATAAAAAGTTCCTCACGGTCATAAATAATACTTTAAATTGTATATTTTAAATTTAGAGTTAAAAGAACAAGCTTTGATAATTTCTGGGCTGAGCAATGTATAATTTTGTGAGAGTGGGGGGGAGGGGCGGGATCATCCTAATAATATCCTTAATATGTACGATATACAGAAGTTAAACTGAAACCTGCTGTGTTGTATATGAGTGTTGTCAGTTTAGCAGAGGCCGTGGAAGGGGGGAGGGATAGCGGGTTTAAAGTGGGGGAGGGGAGGGGGGTCAGTTAATTAAATAAAAAAATCTTTAACTATTTATAGAGGATTTAGAATACATTCCTGATTTAAAATGCGTTCCCAACTTAGAATGAATTCTTGATAATAAGAACTCGTTAACGATTTTAACCGTTCTTTTCAAGCAATTCCTGATCCGTTCCATTCTTTTACAAATTGTTCCAATACTTTTAAGAACGCATTCTTAGCATACGTTTTTTTTTTAAACGATGGGATCGTTCTTGATCATTCCGTTTGTTCTTGGGAAAGAACAATTTCGTTCCACCAGGAACGCGCCCAGCCCTACTTTCATCCATCATTGCTTTATTGCAAGTACACTCATCCTATCATTTAAAAGCGCAGATGGGATACCCCTCAGGTACCTATAGCTGGCAACCATATATATGACTCTCCCTGCATGTCCATCATTCCTTTCTTCATCATCATTCACTTGGATCAATCCATGTTTTGCTTCTTTCTTGTGAAGTAGAAATCAAACACCCTTTCAATGCAAGAGTTGTTGACAGCTGCCCCTCTGTCCGCCTGAATCCGTCAAGTAGGGCTATGCGTCGTTCCTGGGGAACGATCGTTCTTGCACAAGATGGAACAGAACAATCAAGAACTATCCCAGCCTTTCGAAAAAAGAATTAATGCATAGAATGGTTTCTTAAAAATGTTGGAAGATTTGTGAAGGAACAGAAATATTATCGAAATCATCTAGAAATACTTGAAAGGTTTTTTGATTTGATCACCTAAAATATATCCTACATGTTAAGGATTTTTAAGACTCCCGCCACTCCCCCCGCTCTGACAAAATTATACATTGCTCGGCCCAGAAATTATCTAAGCTTATTCTTTAAACCCTTAATTTAAAATATTTAATTTAAAGTATATTTACGGTCGCAAGAAACTTTTTATTATAAAATTGTATTTTTTTTACTTTTTAACAAACTCTTTTCTATAAAACTTTTGTCCTGGATGGAATCGCTCTTTACTAAGAATGGAATGGGGGATGGAAATGTTCTTGACTAAGAACGCCAAGAAGGGAACAAAACGGGATGACCGTTCTTCTTCTCAGAACGGAATGGAGCAGAACCTAACGATTAAAAAAAGGCAGAACGATCTAGCTAAAGGGCCTGGAATGGAACGGAACGATTTCAAAAAATGCCCTACAGTCAACTGGTTCGACCAAATTTGCAGACAGCCTCTACTTTAAAGTTTACCTCACTAATTCACTTATACTTTATTGTGACCACGTACATTTTCAAATTGCACAGAGCTGCTTCTAGCTTAAGTGTAAAAGGAGTAAGTGGCAAAATACTACTCTATTTTTGTGTCTGAGCTTGATGGTTTTGGTTTGCTGTGAATACAATTTTAGAATGCATAAAAAGGTCTATCTTGCCTTGAAAGAATGTATCCTGAACCTCCGCTCATGTATCCTTGTTTAACATGGAAATTGAGATGCGAACCAAAATATGCTGGTTTGTCGGGATCATGCCGTGCTGAAAAAGATCAAGTTTTACAGATTACCATTAAAAAAAACTACATTTGAAATTTACATGCATTAAAGCTCAAGGTCAAGTTTTTTTTTTTAAATATTGTTTTAAGATGACAAGCTGATTCTGTCAAAACAAAAAAAATCAAATGTCAATTATCTTCTTGAACTTAAGATAAATGTCGTCTTGACACTTTTTTTTTTTTTACTTTTTTGGTTTTTATACTACAGGGTGTCCCAATAAACGCGGGAGTTTGAGTAATGGAATTCGAAATCGTCTTTGCTAAGATTTAGCTTTGTAATACCTGATTATACCTGTTTTCAAAATCTAATTATGTCTGCTAGGGTCTATTTTATGAAAACGGTAAATGGCTGAAATGATGTGTCTACAATGTATTTGCAAGATAAAGAGTGAATACAAACAACTTGACTGTGTTTGTAGACTGTAATGTTCTTGTTCAACTTAGTACAACCACATACAGTCAAAACATAAACAAACAAATTGTAAATAAAGCAGACGAAAATCCTACGGATTACAGCTTTCTTAGTAGGTATCACTTTACTAAATTAAAGAATTATTTTTAAAAAAGATATCGATATCATCACTCAATTCCCATGTTTTAAGTTTTAAGGAGCTCGTCAGAATAATTCAATTATGAAACTAAATATCTGCAGCATTCCATTATCAGTCGGTTGAAAAACGACGGTTTATAAATTTGCTTAATGCTCCAAAGTTCTGGGGTAAACTGTAGGGTTAAAAAGATAAACATTGATAACACTTTTGTTATATTTACACAGCATTTCGTGAAGGTTTTCCATTATCACATAAGTATCATCGTCTGTTTTCATTACCCAGTCAACCTTAATAATTAATAACAATTAAATTAAGGACAATAAGTATGCAATTTTTAGTATTATTTTTTTTGAATAGATAGTTCCTCTATGGGATTACCCACAAAGGATAAGACTCCAGAGCGTATGGTATGGAATTGATAGCGTAGGTTTACTTATATTCAAAAATTAACGATATCTGTATTGTCTCGTCCTATATTCAAAAATAGACAAAATACTTTAATTTTCACATGAAGCGAAGGTTAGAACTTAATTCATACTTTCTTTGAAAGATTTATTATCAAATGTGTAAAATTTGTTTTATTTTGTGAATTTTGCGCACTTTTCCAACCTTTTCGTAGATTTCTCTAATAAATACAAAGATGTACACTGTTCAAGTTACAAAATTAAGCAAAAAGACTTTCCAATTTATGCAAAAAAAAAATACCTGCTGTATGTGGTTTTTAAATGCAAATTTAAATCCCAACTTTGTCTTCGACCAGATTGAGCCATAGTTTTCCTATTAAATAGTTTTCCTATGAAATAGTTTTCCTATTGAATAGTTTTCCTATTAAATAGTTTTCTTATTAAATAGTTTTCCTATTAAATAGTTTTCCTATTAAATAGTTTTCCTATTAAATAGTTTTTCTATTAAATAGTTTTCTTATTTAATAGTTTTCCTATTAATTAGTTTTCCTATGAAATAGTTTCCTATCAAATAGTTTTTCTATTAAATAGTTTTCTTATTTAATAGTTTTCTTATTAAATAGTTTTCTTATTTAATGGTTTTCCTATTAAATAGTTTTCCTATTGAATAGTTTTCCTATTAAATAGTTTTTCTATTAAATAGTTTTCTTATTTAGTAGTTTTCTTATTAAATAGTTTTCTTATTTAATAGTTTTCCTATTAAATAGTTTTCCTATTAAATAGTTTTCTTATTTACTAGCTTTCCTATTAAATATTTTCTTATTTAATAGTTTTCCTATTATATAGTTTTCCTATTAAATAGTTTTCCTATTAAATAGTTTTCCTATTAAATAGTTTTCCTATTAAATAGTTTTTCTATTAGATAGTTTTCTTATTGAATAGTTTTCCTATTAAATAGTTTTCCTATTAAATAGTTTTCCTATTAAATAGGTTCCCTATTAAATAGTTTTCTTATTAATTAGTTTTCCTATTAAATAGTTTTCCTATTAAATAGCTTTCCTATTAAATAGTTTTCCTATTAAATAGTGTTTATATTAAATAGTTTTCCTATTGAATATTTTTCCTGTTAAATAATTTTCCTATTAGATTGTTTTCCTATTTGATAGTTTTCCTATTGAATAGTGTTGTAAACCCCGAGCTTTATTTGGTCAACAGCAGAATTTCAAACGCAATAATTAACTCTCTTAGTTCATATTTATTCATCTAAGTTTACTAATTCTATATTATATATTTAGGTGGTTAATATTCTGACCCAAGCTCAACTCTCATGGCCAGGAACTGTAGCAGCTCCAACCTTTGCTCTAGGATAAGGGACATGTTTGTGACCAGTGCCAGTTCTTGTTTGAGCTGGTGTTCCTCTTCACTGTAGATCATCCTGCACTGGTCCCGGAATGTTGCTATTATAGCTAGTCGCAGTTCTTGCCAGATTACCTCGATCCGTCCCCTTATCTTTCCCCTGTTCTCCATGACCAGGTCCACCTGCCCCCGGTCTGGCTGCAAGCCCAGCTTCCTCCACATCTTCGTGAATTCGTCTTCTTCTTCACCGGCATCTTCCAGGCTAAGAACCTCTTTGTCATCCCCCTGCTTGGACTTCCTCTCCTCTGCTTCTATTTCATCCAGTTTATTCCTCTCATCATCTGCTCCATACTCTTCCTCATCTCCGGAGCTCTCGGACACCTCTGCAGCAGTGAGGGAGGGAACATCTGCTTCCAATTCCTCAGGTTCGTCGTCTGAGGGTGGAACGGTGACTATCTCTATGGATGCAGTCACTATCTCAGTGGAGCTATCAGAGATGAACAGTGTCTCCAACTCTACTTCACATTCACTGTCCCCTTCCGTTACATCATCCGGAAGGGGTCCAGCCACATTTGGACGATGACATCTTCATCTATAAGAAAGCTTTAGTAACTTTTATGGTATATTTGTTATTTAGCTATTAGTACAACTAGGAACTATCTAAGATTGGTTATATATGTATATACATATATATATAACTTTCACTAAGCTATTGGTCTTGCTTAGCGTTATAGAGCTTCCTTATTTAGCTTTGCGGAGCTATTAACTTTGCGGAACTATTAGCTTTGCGGAACTATTAATGTTGCGGAGCTATTAGCTTTGTGGAGCTCTTAACTCTGCGGAGCTATTAATTCTACGGAGCTATGTATTGGGTTTAGCTATATAGAATTATATGTATCCCTGCTTCTCTATGTTAATGTGAATATCTATAACTAGCTATTCACAGTTGAATATATTTATCAGGCTATATTATGTTAATAGTCTGAGTTATGAATCAATATAAGTTTGGGAGCTGCACTTGACCTAAGGTAGAAGATTATATTTGTATATAAGTCTTTCTACTAGTAAGGTTCTTTGTGCACTCCCGTTCCCGTTTGCTTTGATTCATTATATAGAGCGCTGGCTGCATTTTCTATATATATATACGTAAATTCTAAGGTATTCCTAATCCGTTCTAGATTACAACAATAGTTTTCTTATTAAATAGTTTTCCTACTAAAAAGTGTTTATATCAAATAGTTTTCCTATTAAATATTTTTCCTATTAAATAGTTTTCCTATTAAATAGTTTTCCTATTAGATTGTTTCCCTATTAGATAGTTTTCTTATTAAATAGTTTTCCTATTAAATAGTTTTCCTATGAAATAGATTTCCTATGAAATAGTTTTCCTATTAAATAGTTTTCTTATTGAATAGTTTTCCTTTTAAATAGTTTTCTTATTAAATAGTTTTCCTTTTTAAATAGTTTTCCTATTAAATAGTTTTCTTATTAAATAGTTTTCCTATTAAATATTTTTCCTATTAAATAATTTTCCTATTAGATTTTTTTCCTATTAGATAGTTTTCCTATTGAATAGTTTTCCTATTAAATAGTTTTCCTATTAAATAGTTTTCCTATGAGATTGTTTCCCTATTAGAAAGTTTTCCTATTAAATAGTTTTCCTATTAAATAGTTTTCCTATTAAATAGTTTTCCTATTAAATAGTTTTTCTATTTAATAGTTTTCCTATTAAATAGTTTTTCTATTAAATAGTTTTCCTATTAGATAGTTTTCCTATTAAATAGTTTTTCTATTAAATAGTTTTCCTATTAGATAGTTTTCCTATTAAATAGTTTTCCTATTAAATGGTTTTCCTATTAGATAGTTTTCCTATTAAATAGTTTTCCTATAAAATAGTTTTCTTATTAAGTAGTTTTCCTATTAAATAGTTTTTCTATTAGATAGTTTTCTTATTGAATAGTTTTCCTATTAGATAGTTTTCCTATTAAATAGTTTTCCTATTAAATAGTTTTCTTATTAAATAGTTTTTCTATTAGATAGTTTTCCTATTAAATAGTTTTCCTATTAAATAGTTTTCCTATTAAATAGTTTTCCTATCAAATAGTTTTTCTATTAAATAGTTTTACTATTAAATAGGCTTCCTGTTAAATAAGTTTAATAAGATTAACAAATAAACAAAATTGTCCGTTAGTCTATAATTACAATTCTTTCTAGTAATAGCTAACCATTAACAAAGCATTTTTTGCTTTGTTTTATAAAAGATTACAACAATATTTTTCTTTGATTTATTTACCTTGACAGGGTTATGTAGAACATGATAACCGGTTTCAACAACTGTTGACTAAAAGTGATTTTTTTTGTATAATCTTTATAATTTTTAAAATCTGTATGGTCATCAAACAAGTGAACTTTAAATTAGAAGTCAAAATTCAGAAACATATTAGAAACCAAATTAATTGTTCTTGTCTTTTATAAAAATTAAACCTTTAAAATCTACGAAATTTGTTGTTTTGTGTGGTAAACAGTTCATTTTCCTGGTTAACGATTTATAAATTAACGTTTTTTTCTGATCTTTAATAGAATAAATATTGTTTTTAATTTCTTATTTTGACCATTAATATTCTTCATAAAGTTACCTCACTACTAACGAAATACAAAAATGTACATCTACTTCCCCATGTATCATTTATGCTGAAATATATGTTAGTTAAAATGTAAGACTTTTTTCGCTTTAAATGTAATTTTTTTAGTTCTTCTGAAAAATATAAGATAAAATGTAATCCTTTTTTAGTTCTGCTGAAAAATATGAGATAAATGCAATTTTTTTTGAAAAATATAAGATAAATGTAATTTTTTTTAGTTCTGTTGAAAAATATAAGATAAATGTAATTTTTTTAGTTCTGTTGAAAAATATAAGATAAATGTTATTTCTTTTAGTTCTGTTGAAAAATATAAGATAAAATTAATCCTTTTTTAGCTCTGCTGAAAAATATGAGATAAATGTAATTTTTTTGAAAAATGTAAGATAAATGTAATTTTTTTTAGTTCTGTTGAAAAGTATCAGATAAATGTAATTTTTTTTTAGTTCTGTTGAAAAATATAAGATAAAATGTAATCCTTTTTTTAGTCTGTTAAAAAATATAAGATAAATGTAACTTTATTTAGTTATGTTGAAAAATATAAGATATAATATAATCCTTATTTTAGTTTAAATATACAAGGTGTCTCTAAAAAGTGTGTCCTAACTTTTTCGTCATCTAAATGTCGATTTACTGTACTCAACTCGAATATCTTGCTTGCAGGTTCAATGCCCATAAATGGGGNTAATCTCTAATATTAGTTTAAGCTACAAATGTAACCTTAAATTTGAACTTCGACGATTGTGTAGCTGTCGAAAAAGCTTAATCTCACTTTTTTTATTAACTAACGTACAGGGTGTCCCAATAAACATGGGAATTCAGTGACGAATTCGATCTCGCCTTTTAAATAATTTTTCGATTTAGTAGAGTGATACCTACTGAGAAAGCAGTAATCTGTAAGAGTTTCGTCTGCTTTGTTCAAATTTTGTTTGTTTATGTTTTGACTGCATACGGTTGTACTTACTAAAACAGACATAATAATATTATGACTTTTGGAAATACAATGCTAATTAATAACAAAGACGATATCGAATTTGTCACTGAATTTCCATGTTTTTTGGGACACGCTGTATAAGATTGTTTATTTTCTTCAATTATTTCATTTAAAAATAAAAGATGACCAAAACTAGGGTACACACCAAGCCTTTTGAATATATAATGTTACATTTTACACAATATAAATTTATCTACCGTCTTTGCAACCTGATGATGTAAACCTTTAGCATTTTAATCTTTTACCGAAATTAGGTTGCAAAGATAAAAAATTGGAAAAATTTTAGTTTGAGACAAATCTCAAGTTAATTTGTTACTTACGCCCTTACTCTGCCAAACGTGGTGTTAAATGCCTTTGGTTGTGTTATAACCAAACATAGCAATCTTTATTAAGAAAATATTGAGAAATATCTTTTATTTAAAAACTTTAATGTAATTATTATTTATTGTAAGCTTTTGTCTTATTTAGATGTTGTTAATTCATTCATTTTTCTTTCCTAATTGGAGATTTCTTGGCTTTAAACTTCATAAATTCACTTCCAAGTGCATATTTGTTTGAATTATCGAGATCATAATCTAGATAAATTCATTATTATAATATGTTTTAAAATCTTGCTATGAAATAATTTTCTTGTTTTATTACAGGACCTCAAAGCCTAGAATGCAGGAAAAGGACATTTGAATAAAGTTGAATAGTTTCAATTTGCCCAGATCTCGCGATTTAAAAAATTCGGGAAAATACGGCTCGGGTCTAAGCCGTCGCTGGGCCTTATTTACGGCTTGAGCTTTCGGATTCAAGCGGCATCTTATTTTACACCGAGTTCAGTTCAAAATCCGGTTTAATATTCTATTTGGCGGATTTCATGGTAGGAATCGACACATTGAGTCTTATTCTCCACTAAAACCAACCAAGGTCAGTTTTATTTTCATTGGGCCTAACTCCTTAAGTCGAGCCGAAGATCTTGCAGCTGTCAATCACGTGACACAAGTTGTTGTAGAGTTGGGTCGAAGATTGGGTCTTAAAGTTGGGTTTAAAGAATTACGGCTCGAGCCGAAGTTTTCAAATCACGGGCTCAGGATAAAAATCTGTTCCTTAATGGTTGATTAGTTAAGGCTCATGAAGGAAAATATTTCTATATCATAAAAAATAATGGTTGCAAAAATGTCGGGTTAGCAAAATTTGTGGCAAGAATTCATATTGGTTTATACTTTTAAGCAACAAAAATGTTCTAATGATTTTTACCTTCTTCTTCAGTTCTATATTCTAGTTCTTCAGTACTTGAAGGTGTAAGAACACTGCATATACTGAAATTATGTATATGTAATAAATATCGTAGTAAACCCCATATTTGTAAACCTGAACACACCTAGATATATTACGTTATACCCAAACTATGTTCGTTAATTTCTGAGAAAACTATCGGTCCTTATCATTAACATGTATTACGATTTAGTTTAATTACGTCCATCATTGTACTATAAAACCCATCATCAATTTAAATATAAGTTAGTTGCAATAAGCACTCTGCTTGATTGCGGTATTAGAGTAATATTTCTTGTGTAGCAAGTGAGTTGGCCTTGAGTTGTATCTCGAGAGGGAGGGAACCCCCAAACGCCATGAGCCTCTGCTATGCAGACCATGCCTCCGCAATACAGACCCTGCCTCATCTATGCAGACCGTGCCTCTACTATGCAGACCATGCCTCAGCTATGCATACCATGCCTCTGCTATGCAGTGAATGAGCCTCCACCATACAGAACAGTTTTTTTTAAAACTTGGTTTTAATGTGTAATGAAAAATGTCAACAATTTTTTTGACGTAGTGTCATAAGAGTTTTACTAAAGAATAGATTTGTTTATTGATTGTCATGATTAAAAACATATATGAACTCATGAAGGGGTTTATAAGATTTATACTAAAACTTTTAACATTTCTTATGCAGAAAGGAAGATATTTGGAGAATCATTTCTGGAGTAATTAAATTCAGTTTGTTTTGTTGTAATCTTTGATTTTAACAATACCTTTTTTTTGAAAAATTTTAAGATTTAAATAAATTATACAAATTTTCTACATTTAATTTGAACTACAAAAAAGTTATTGCTTAAATCAAAGATTATAAAAGATGAAATGAAATTCAAATTTTTTTCTCTAGATAGTTTTCTTTTCATGTAAAGAATGTTTAAAGTTTTACTTTTATATACGTACCACTTTATCAGTCATAATCAGGAACTATTTATGATAATTGATATATACTTCCCATCTTTGAGAAACCTCTCATGCCACTATGTCAAAAAAATTGTTAATATTTTTCATTACAAAAAATCAGGATTTCAGAAAAGCTGTTCTGTATGGTGGAGGTTCGTTCACTGCATAGTGGAGGCTTGGTCTGCATAGCAAATCTTGGAGGCTCGTGTCTGCATAGCAGAGGCTCATGGCCTCCGGGGGTTCCCTCCCTCATCTCGAAAGATTGATACAGACTAATAAACACAGAGAGTGTTGTATTTGGATTGAATACAAACTAAGTAGACCACTGAGTTCTACAGCGAGTTGCATTTTGAACTGTAACTGGACAAAACACATTGAGAATACAGAATACAATACCTGGTTTGGTACAGACGTAAGAGAACTTGTTGGATTTGCTACATATATATAAGCTTTCGTTCTATATTCTGGTTCAGTACTTAAAGATGTAAGAACACTTGATATATACTGTAGTTATCTATATTACATAGTTTTAAATCATATTTATTTATCATTCTTTTAATTAAGTTGCATTACCCTAACTATGTGGTTAATTTTTTTTGCAGAAACAAAGGCCAAAACTATCTTAAATATCTTTAATATTTTTGAAATTCAAGCCTAATTGTTTTCTACAATGTGTCAAAATTTGCATCTGGCTTTGACAAATTTAATACAAATTTGCTAGAATTGGTTGTTAAAAATGCCAAACTGTTCAGTCTGTTTTTTTTCTGTGAAAATAACTGGTGGATTTATTTTTCGAATATTAGTTACTTAAAAATTCTAAAAGTATAACATGCACTTAAGACTCTGTTATATAAAATACGGTTATGGGTTTTAAACGAACAAAAACATTCGCAATAAAATGCAGATTTACGCAAAATGAATTTTGTAAAATGGAAGCGAAAACGATGTAATGGAATTTCGTGATAAAAATATGCGACAAATACGTTTAAAAATAGCAAAATTTCGTATTAATCTGTTTCGCGAAAATATGCTAAATTTTCGCAAAACTATGTGAGATTTTAAGAACCTTGTTTTGGAAATTTTAGTATTTATATTTTTTTTCGCGAAATTTCGTGGAAAAAAATAAATTTTCGGCAAAATTTTTTTGCCAAATTTTTACGAAATGATTTCATCATTTCCCTGGAAATAATAACAGAAAAATATCTGGTTTTTAAACTTTTTTTCTTGATATTTACCTTCGATATGAAGTTAGAACTGATTTGTAGGATTCTCTGTGTAAAAGTCCCAGCCTAGTTAAAAAAATAGGGAAATCACCCTTACAGCAAGTAATATAATTTATAATTGAATTTTTGAAAGCTTAATCTGTAACCACCTGATAATTTTTAATCATTGAGCACAAAAAAAGTATCCTTAACTTCAATAAGATACCCTTCGCGAAAAAAAATGTAAAAAAATCGAATACAGAGATACAGAGAAAAACAGAAGTTTGCGGACTATGGAAACTACATCAAAATATATTTAAGTTTATATAAGTGTAAATATAATTGATGAATTGTTGCGATTATCTTCTACGGAAGCTAATCACTTGAACGGAATGATATTATTCGCAAAAAGTTTTACTACAGGTTGCCCCACGAAACGTGACAGTTGGTGATCAGTTTAGATAGTCTTCTTAAATAATTTGTAATGTTGTTTGATACCAATGAAAATAGTAAAAATATTGTATGGGAGTCATGTTATAGTAAAATTGATTTCAAAGCGAAATGTATCTAAGCAAAAGATTTTTAACAAAATTAACTGCAAAAACCTTTTAATATCTAATACAGTGTATGGAAGACGACATTCATAACTATTTGTCAACTGACATGTTTCGTGGAACACTCAATAGCTTATGGAGTGAAAGGTCTGTGCGAGAGAGCGGGTGCAAACTTGCAAAGCAACCATAAACCCCGCGAAATAATCTTCGGAGCCACCTGATTTTCAGAATGACCTCCAAGCTTTTCTTACCCATCTCTGTGCCTCTTGTGTTTCGCAATTATTTTGTTGACATAAACCATGTTTAGGCTTAGAGAGTATTTGCAGTTTTGGTTCAACATGTTTGTCATTGTTTCAAAATTTGTTTTGAACCAAATAAATGTGTATAACATTCCTGAATGTTCCTGAAGACGTTCAGAATCTAGAGAATGTTGATATATTATTTGCTAAAGTTGTAACTACGTGAATTCTCTAAGCTTAATAAAGGCAAAAATGTTTTGAATTAACCAATATGAGTTTATCAATACTAGGTAAACTACAGCTGTTAAACCCTAAATATTAAGTACGTCGAAAGAATTTATCAAATGTCGTACTCTTTCTTTCTGATAGTGTAATGTTGCAAATATATAGTTTTTTTTTTTTATTAAAAGATTATATGGAACTCTTTAAAACTGTTCCCGCATATTCATGGCTATTTATTTATTTTCGCAAATACTGAGATTTACGTAAAATAGTATAAAACCCATTGAAAAATTTTGTTAAGACGACATTTGATAAATTCTGTCGATGTATTTAATGTTTAGGTTTTAACTGTATTTTAGTTTGTTCACGAATTACTGTTATCCTGACATAAAATTGAAAACTCAAATAAAATAGACAGTGAGGACAGACTAGGGTTTCTAAAGCAAGTGAATTTTACTTGCGCACAATTCCGTAATAATTGCGCGCATAATAAACGTAACAAAATTGCGCACAATAGTGCGCAAGTCCGCCTAACCTACTTGCGTTTGTGTTTCAATTTTTTGATAAAATTCAATTTAAACCTTATGGCACGCAATCAATTATTGCGCAATTCCTTTCAACAACAAAAAATTGAACTTCACTAACATTTCAGTCTCAAATGCTAAGAAAATTGAATTTAAACTTAATATTTTGTTTTAAATATTTGTTTTAGGTATGATAACCAGAAAACTCTGGCATAGGAAGATGACATTTTAGACTCAAGCAAACCAATGTCACTGAATAAGTGATTTAGTAAGATACTAATCAATGTTTTTGGCTAATTTGAACGACATCAAATACACTGTGATGTTGGCTTTCTGTACCATAGTTTTCTGGTTCTTACTGTAGCAAAATATCTAATTTTGATTAAACAAACCTTACAGTTTTAACCAAAAAATGTTTCCATTTTAATGTTCATCCAATGTGAGTATAATGAAAAATGTATCATATTAAATTGTTAATTAACTAGAAAATTAATAAACTTAATATTTTGAAAACTGTTCAAACAATTGTGAAACTTGGGCTTTGATTATTTTAAAATCTACAGAGATATTTCCATTCTTGTATTTGCTGCATAAATTTGTAATTGTCGAACAGTTAAAGTATTGATTTTCAGTTGGAAAAGCGAATTGCACGCTATTCCGCGAATATTTAATTGCTCCCTTTTTCGCAATTATAGCGCAATTGCGCGCAATGAAATGGCGCAAGCGGAAGCAACCATTGCGCGCAACGGAATTCCGATTGGATAGATAGATGAACAAAGACAAATTAATAAGTGTTCAATTGCCTCAGATGAAAGTTACAAGCTAAATAAAAGTTAAAAAGGTTTCTGTCATATAAAAAATGTATAGAACTTCTAAAACACCTGTCTGATATTATTTTTTTATTTTATATATATATTTTTTAGTACTGGGTGTCCCAAAAAACATGGGAATTCAGTGACGATTTCGATATCGTCTTTGTTATGAAAATTAGCATTGTAATACCAAATTTCTAAAGCCATAACATTATTATGTCTGCTCGAGTTTATTTAATGTAAACGGTAAATGGCTGTAAAGATGTGTCTATAATGTCTCCGCAAGATGAACAGTGAAGACGGACAAGTTTAATCTGTTTGTATATTGCAGTTTTCTTGTTTTACTAAGTACGCCCTTATGCAGTCAAAACATAAACAAACAAAATGTGAACATAGCAGACGAAACTCTTATAGATTACAGCTTTCTCAGTAAGGTATCACTATACTAAATTAAAGAACTATTTATAAAGACGATATCGAATTCGTCACTGAATTCCCATGTTTATTGGGACACCCTGTATCAGCGATACAGAAAATAAGTACCAGAGAGGAAATTACCCTTTTTATGAAAAGAGAGATTTATCTCCCATAATCAGGAATCAGGAGGCTCCGAAGGACATTTCGTGGGGCTCTTGGTGGTTCTGTAGTTTGCACCACAGCCCTGGGCAATGGCATACTGTGCAACTTTTGTGTTTCATGTTTTTAAAAGCATAACTTTAATCTAAAAGTCGTCTTTTTATTCGACAGTTTTCTGTTCCTTCTTGTATATATATTCATAAATACATGTTCTATTATCAAAATATTTGAGGAATCTTTTTATTAGTATCTTACCAAAAAAATATAATTGATATGGCAAGGGCACTTACAAGCCATCTCTGTACTGTGATCATCTGCAACATTTTAAAATATTTAAAGGGACTGTTATCGTTTCTTTAATTTATCCTTTAAAGGGATTGTGACTATCAATTTATAAATGGAATGTCTGCAGGATAACACCGAGACTTTTAATTTTGAGCATTAAAGGAGGTATTGTAGTATACATTTTTGGAAAAAAGTTAATTTAAACAATTCTTTCGAAACAAATGTGCAGTAGGGTCCTAAATATTTGAAACATCACAATCACAGATATTAAATATTAGGGCTTTTCTATCGTGTTAAATTTTGTTTAACTTCCTATGTTGTTTCTGAACCATTAATGCAAACGTTATTTAAAATAAAGAAACTACAGTTAAAATAACCAATTTTAAGAAAGAATTTTGCAAATTTTTTTCTTCCTGAAATAGACAAAGATTAATGGTATCATTGTACATCTGACGTCTCTTACTAATCAAATAAAGAATCACTTGAAAGAAAAATATTTATGAAGATGAGAACAGATTTGAAATAAGTTAAATATTTAACTAATTGTATGGTATCATTTTAATTATATAAAAGAACACTTGATATAAGGTATGTCGTGATATATAGGTCTAATTCAAATCTTCTGCTATGCGTGACGAAGAATGAAAACAAATGTTATTTTTTCAATAAAAACTAAACAGAAATGCCAAGATGTGATGGGGGGGGGGGCAGTGCAAATCTAAACGAGAAGTTTTAAAATTTATTGGGATCTTTTTCTTAATTTTCATATGATCGGCATCATTTTTTTGAACGAACAACACTTATGATAACAAACTTAAAGAATTCATGGAAATGTGTGTCGTTAAAAAATATGAACGATGGACAAACGTGTGAAATGAATCATTCAAAGAAATGAAAAATTTATCGTATTAAAAACGAACGAATAAAAACTAACCATCTAAATCGTCCGAGCAAACTGTAAATAACTATCTTTTTTACTGAACGAACAAATTTACGAAATATTTAAAAAAAACTTTCGTGTTTTTATTTAACGAACGATCTTTTGATTTTATTGAACCAACGTTCTACTGATAATTGGGTATGTCCCTCTTAAAATGGAGGGTTACTTGAAATTTCAACAATCTCTTTGACAACATCAGCCGAATATGTAATAAAAAAATCAGGAAAAATTCAGAGAATTAATAAGGTCGAAAAAACTAGACTACGTCTACAACATTTAGTTCACAATACAATCATTTATGAAAGTGATGGTGTATTTTTGAACTTACGCCCATCCGACCTACTATCGAGTGGTTCTACAGCTGCTATTGATCCGGTCCACTATAGGTCGTATTAGCATAAACCTCATAAATTGGTGCATCCGACCTAATATAAGCGGTCGGTTGGTAACGTTAGTAGGTCAGATGCCCCATTTGTAGGTCGGATGGGCACATTTCGTAGGTCGGGTTGGCATTTTTTGTACAGTGAAACCCTTTATAACGAATACTTCGAAAGAATTCATCAAATGTCGTATTCTTCACTTTCTGATAATGGAATCTTGCAGATATTTAGTTTTTTAATTAAATGATTATATGGAACTCTTTAAAACTGTTCCCGCATATTCATGGCTATTTATTTATTTTCGCAAATACGGATATTTACGTAATCTATATATAAATTTGGCTTGTCTGTTTGTATCCAATAAACGTCAAAACGGCTGAACCGATCGGGCCCAAAGTGACCACGGGGAAGGTTTATGAATGGTAAAAATTTAAAAAAATGTGTTTTAAAGGTCTTTAATTTTGTAAAAAAAAAATTCTTGAAAATCCGCGAATTTATTTTTTAAAAATCCGCAATTTTTTTTTTTAATTTTAACAAAAAGAACATGTTCACAATCTAAATAGAAGATTGAATTTCTAGTACAGTATATAACTCATTGAAAAATTGTCAATACGACATTTGATAAATTCTTCCGATGTATTCGTTATTAAGGGTTTCACTGTAGGTCGGAAGGCTAATTTTTGTAAGTCGGATAGACCCTTTTTGAAGGTCGAATACCCTTTTTGTAGGTCGAATAGGCAATTTTTGTAGGTAGAATGAGCTTATTTAGTAGTGGGATGGGCAGTTTTTTTCAACGTTTTACTGGATTTTTTCCTTTCAAATTAGATGTATGAAGATGTTAGCAGTCTAAAAAATCGGTTTTATAAAATATGGTATAGTAAAACCACGTTAAACAAATTCATATGGTAGGGCGGGCTAGGTCAATTCCTTCTTCATTATATTCCATACTCCTTGATTTTCATGACTGTAATAAATCTGAAGAAATGCGGAGAGTGTAGAGGATCAAGTAAATTCAGCTTACTATTTTTAATTTATATAAAAATGTCGAACGAATGGGGAACAAAGCTACATTATTTACTCCAAATCTTAAATTTTAAGGAAGTCCATTGTCCCCCCTTCCCCCGTCGGAAAAAATTTGGATGGCAACCAGGTTAAAGGGGGGACTTTCACGTAAGGATTCAAAAAGACGTTTACACATTTTTTCCTTTTGAAAGGTTAAACCAAAAATGGCTTCACCATCAGTTGTTCTTTTTTTGCCTTTATCCACTGTAAAGTTTAAAACTTTTCTTCTGTAAAAAAAAAAACAACGTTTAAATTTATGATTTAGAGTTAAGCTCAAAAACAAGAAAAAAGGCAATAATTTAAAAACAAATTAAAAACGATACAAATTCATTATTACCTAAAAAATTGCGTTATATCTGTGAGTAATGATAAAGGAAAGTTAGAATTAAAATTATCTGTAAATACAAAATTATCCTTTATTTTCTTTCTTCCATATTTTACGTAACAATCTATCATGGATCCACAATTTGAACAAATCTGATTTTTCTTAATCAGAATCTGATTTTCCGGAGGCGGCACTCCCCGACTTACTGGAGCTGCGTGACCTCGAGGCTGATTTTGACTTCGACCTGCTGGAGGCTGAAGATTTTGACCGGCTCCGCGAGACCGACCTCGCAGATCTAAAATCAAAGAAACTATCAATGAAATTTTAATTGACAACTGACAAAAAATGATTAAAAAATAAAAAATATCCTGCAGATTTTTCTATAACATAATTTGCACGTTTTTAGCCGCCAAACGAGTAAAAAAGAAGAGAAAATCTATTTCATAATATTGGATAAGTTGGCTTTTACTACATATTCACAATTTTTATTTGGCCAACTATCAACCTAAACGATATTTCCGAACGATTCGTAAAAACGCTTGAAAAAATCGTTTTGGTTAATATCTTCGGAGAAAAAATGTTGCTTAATTCATTAGTTAAGAAGCAAACTTAAAGAAAATCGGAATTTGCTCTTTGATTCTATTAAAATTCATTTCAAGCCAAAACTTTGAATGTGTAAAAAAGAGGTTGGGTACTTTCCCATAGGCTTTTCCCAAGCATATTAAGGCAACATCCGAAATGTGCCTATCCCAAGCCGCAGCGCTCACCCCTACCCTAGAATATTCTTGCCGCAGCGCTCGGTCCCCTAGTCCATCCTAGTCGCATTGCTCGGCCCCTATTACAGCCTAAGGCCCCTCAGAAGGCCTTACCTAGCCTTTAGGAAGTTGCCACAGTATGCATTCCCCTTTAAAAGGAATTAAGATTTGGAACAAACCTGGCACTGTCAGAATCCGAATCCCCGCCTTTTGCTTTCTCCAATTTTCTTGCTTTCTTTGTTTCAACATCAGAGTCCTCGTCACTGGTGTAAATAGCTTTCTTTGCTGAAATTAAGGTACATGAATGTTGATTGACGCAATGTCAGACTTCATAATTTGAAACTTTGGAATTGGAAAACAACTTTAGTCTCAATTTAAGATTTTTAATAGTCTAATATACATGAAACATTTCTATTGAGCGAAGTAAACAGATTCATTTCACTTAATAAGTTGATTTTCAAACTATTTGCTTTAGAAATAAATCACTGAAACCCCTTGAATATGAACGCGTTAGCATGCAATTATCCTATATAAAAATCACTTTCCCGTGATTTTTATAAATTTCCGAATTAATTTGTTATTTCATGCACCAAATATATTTATCAGAGGTCAAAACTGTTAAATATAAAAACTGTTATTAATGCACTTTTTGAGATATCACCACTACTTGTAATCTTTTCTTGATCTCCAGAATAAGACTTAAATCTTTCAATTTTAAAAGTTTTAACAGTGGACAAAAATTTGGCTGAGGGGTATACCGACCAACAAGTTAGCCAATGTTTTTACAAGATTTACCGCAACTTCCATTACACATTTTCAATGCCAAATTGAAGAAATAAATTCAGTTTCAATGACGAGTTTGACATTTGTGGCTGTTAATGTTTATCAATCCCCCTTCAACAAACAGGGGATGAGGGAGGGGGTCCTGAATACCTTTCTGTTGAGCTGCCCCACCCGACTTGTATTTATTTTTAATCTTGGCAATACTGATCGTAGCATCATCATCATCAGAATCATCGTCATCCCCATCTTCTAGATATCCCCCGCTCAAACCCTTACCCGCACCCTTCTCCTTGCTTCGCTTAACCTAGAAATATCAAAAATGTAAAACAAGTGATTTGCTACTGATTTTTTGTGTTATTTGGGTGTCAGGTACTTTCCCGAAGTCCACTTCCCATATGTACATTTTCCCAAGCAGCACTTCCCAAAGGTTAGGTTAGGCCTTCTGAGGCGCCGCAGGCTGCAAAAGGGCCGAGCGCTGCAGCTAGAATATACTAGGGGGGGGGGGCAAGCACTGTGGCTAGGAAAAACTTGGAAAATTGAACATTTGGGAAGTTGCCACTTGGGAAAATATCATTGGGAAGTTGCCACTTGGGAAAATATCATTGGGAAGTTGCCACTTGGGAAAATATCATTGGGAAGTTGCCATAACATCGTTATTTGAATGGTCTGTGTCTCTTGGTCCAAGTGTTTAATTGAATGAACATTTCTTGTCTCAAACATAAATATTAACACGATGAGGGACTGTAAGATTGCCTAATTCATACATATGGTACCCATAAAGCTTTGTCTGATCAAGTTTGAATTAGATAATAATTTGTAAATAATTTTGAAAACTTTTTTTTAAACTGCAGGAATCCATGAAGGAATTATCACAATTAAACATTTTAAAAACGCCAATATCATTCACATTATTGATCAGATCAAGGCTTCCCTGAACATAAACCAATTATTAAAACCCAATAATGCGGAATTAAATATTTATTTTCACCTTTGCGTCTTTTCTGACGGATTCGCGGAGTTTGCTCTCTTCTGTTTTTATCCTCTCCCATCTATTCGCCTCAGGGTCGTTTCCAAGCTTAAAAATGTTTCTTTTTTTTTATTTTCACAGACCCTAAATTCTATGTTAAAATGGAACACAATAGTTTAATTAATATATCAATATCTCGAGAGAAAAAAAACGTGGAAAAATCGAAAAATAATGATATTAATTTCTAGGCAGACAGCTTTCAAATCTGACACTTACCATTGAGATAACTTTGATCCCTGACTTCTTGTTGCTCTTGTCCACCATGGACAAGATCATCTTCTTGTGGGTGTGGGACTCTGTGGAGTGAGGGCGGAAGGAGAGCTTTGTCTTGAAAACTGCCTGTCCTTGGAGACCTTACAACAGGAGTATATATATATTCGAGGTTTCCAGGGTACAGCGCCCTCTTTTGTTTGTAAAAAATATGTTACTAGGCTTTGGACGCTTCGCGCCTTTCTTCTATTTCAAAATTATAAAAATTTAAAAATTTTGAAGACAATTTGTTGCAATTCTCACCATCCGTAACCCTTCCCTAGGGTCATATGAGGTCCCACAAATCGGATACAAAAAACAACAGACAAGCACAGTATATATGTATATAAGATTAGTTTTAAAAAATTAACAATTTTAGATTTCGCAGATTTTTTTGGGTGGAAACTGTCTGTCAAACCCTTCCTGGGATAATTTATAACTCGGATTAATGTAAAAATGTGCTCACCAGTTCCTTGTCTTATGAACAAATGATTGAAATCACTCTGTAGGGGTTGCTTGTGTACGTCAAATATCTCATTTCCTAAAAAAATACATTTACACATCGATTGAAAAATACATTTGAAAAAAAACGGCCTTTCAGGTTTCCTTTATAATAACTCTATTTCCGAAACAAGTGTATGTAGCAAATTAACAGTTTCCATGAAGTTTTTCAGAAAATTTATTATATTGATTGATTGATTGATTATATTGATTGAATACCTAGATGAAGACTGAGACTACCATCACTCCATTTAACAATCCTAAATATGTATTAGTGAAAAAAAAAATATGATTTTAATAATTAAAAAAAAATTAAATAAATCTTAGACCATCAGGGTTGGAAAAAAATGCTACTCTGTATATCTGTGCATCGTAATATTAATGTGATTCCTATTTTGTGATTGTTTTTACATAATCACAAGCAGTCAAAGTACTACTAATCTTTACTTCCAGATAAGGATGGATGTCTGGGGTTTTTTGTTTACCCTGTGAAAACCTATATGTTTTTATCACAGATTAAGAATGGGCCTAAAGCACACAAGAGACTAATAAACAGTATACAGGCCAGTTTTATCAATGGTAGCAGAGCTATAGTGTTAAGATCTACAGACCTTGTTTGAAATACCTGACCATGGGTGTTTGTGTGTTAAACCTGATCAAAGGTTTTTATCGGCTATACTGTAGGTACAAATTTGTATCTTTCTCTAGCGTCAACCATAGGGTTGAATTGTGTGGTGTGCTTATCAAGGAGTACTTGATGTCCCTTAGTGATAACCTTTAGGGTTAAGTGTGAAATCAAGTGATTTTTTTAAAAAAAATGGCGACAAAAATTAACATACAATCCCCAGACCTGAACAATTGTAAGAGCTATGAAGCTTTTAAGCCAGAGATAAGTGCATGGGCAGATGTGACAGACCTCCCTAAACAGAAGCAAGGGAACTTTATTGTTCTGTCTCTCCCAAATAAATCCAAGTTTGGTGATGATATTAAGGAAAGGGTATTAGAAACTCTCTCTGAAGAAGATTTGAAAAGTGAAGATGGACTGTCCAAAGTGATTGGTTTTCTAGATCAAGAGTTAGGAAAGAATGCAGTTGATGACATTATTGAAAAATGGGAGGAGTTTGATAATTGCAAGAAACAAGACAATCAAACTGTTGAGGACTTTATTTCAGATTTTGAATCTAAATATAACAGAATCAAAGCATCAGGATCAAAACTACTGGAGGAAATACTTGCATACATGATCATGAAGAGAGGTGGATTGACCCATATGGAAAAGATGCTGATCATAGTATGAATTTATATGGAAGACAAGGCTAACTTGTTTAAGAATACAAAGATCAACATGAAAAATATTCTAGGAAAAAGGTTGCAGAATAAAGATAAAGGTAGAGACAAAATAAAGTTTGAACCAGCATTTCTGGCTGAATATGAAGAAGTGTTAGCTGCACATGGATACTACAGAAACCGAGCAAATACTGGACCTCCTAAACCCAAATACTATAGCAAAGGCTTTAAACAGCCAGAATTCCCAAAAAGAACGGACAAGAGTGGAAAACCTGTGAACCCATTGTGAAATGATGGAAAAACCATGCTGTGCAAGAGTTGCGGCTCATTTAGACATTTTGTTGGAGAGTGTCCTCACAGCCATGAGCAAAAGAATGGAGTTTATGTAACAGAAGAAGTTACTGGAGCCCCTGACATAGAGGTGGATAGATTTATCCTTTATATTTCAGGTTCAGAAGAACTGAGCAGATTTACAGCTGAAGCTATAAACTCAGCTGCATTGGATACTCCCTGAACAACCACAGTTGCTGGAGAAAACTGGATGCAGATATATCTGGAATCCCTCCCAGTTTATGCAAGAAAACGAGTACAGGGACCTTTTCCAGGAGAGAAGTGTTTTAAAGGTGTTGGTCAAGGAGTCCTTGTATTCTTAGCTAGATATATCATCCCCGCTGAAATGGGTGAACACCCAGTCATGATTGAGGTGGAAGTAGTGAAGTCAGACATCCCTTTACTGCTATCCAAAGAGGCGATGAAGAAAGCAAAAATGGTTCTGCACATGGATGAGGATTATGCAGAAATTTTTGGAAGGAAAGTGATGCTAGACACAACTAGTGCTGGTCATTATGTAATTCCTCTTCTAAACCAGAAAACAAGTTCAGAGATTAATGATGACCAAATCTTCAATATTGAGGAGATTTTGGTTGTTGATTTCAGCACAGCATCTAAGGAAGAAAAAGGTTAAACTCTTCAAAAGCTACACAAACAGTTTGGCCATATATACTATACTATTCAGGGAAGACGACTTGGTTACACGGGAGAAGTTGAAGAAGGACAAATTAAAACAAATAATTATTTATAATCCAACACTGGAAAAAAGCTCATATATTTTAAAACCTAACTTAAAAGTTTTCGATGTCAAAATTCTATAGTTGAAGATTTTAATATCAAGATTCTGGAATTAAAAATTTACTGTCATATTTCTAAACTTTAGTGACAAAAAGTATAGATTTAAATATTTGATGGTTATAACCCAAGATTTAAAGATTTTATTGTGATAAATAAAAAATTTAAACAGTTTATTCCTATAATTCAAATTCTACTGATCCTTCTTTTTGCCATATATCTAACTAATGACATAGTTAAAGATCTTGGTGACATTATTCAAGGTTTTTCTTTCTACTTAGTTAAACCGAAACCTGGAAGCTAGCTGACTGCCAGACGGATCTTGGAGCTGGCGGATCTCAGAGCTGCACTTCTCAACGGAAAAAATAACGATAAAAATAGATTTCCATAAGCCCCAGGGAAGACTGGCAGATTTCCTTCTATGTCACTGGATTTTATATCTATTTTATACAGAGGCCAAGGGCGTGTACATGGACCACAATGGACTGCAAAGATTTAACCCTATTGAATCGAATCTAATTTACCTACTCTTTAATAAGATTTCAAGATTTTATATTATTTTATACTCAAAATTGAAAATCTGACTTGAAGTTTTCGATGTCAAAATTCTAAATTTGAAGATTTTAATATCACGATTCTGGAATTAAAATTTACTATCATAATTCTAAACCTAATGACTTTACTGACAAAAAATTCTAGATTTAAATATTTGTTGGTTAGAACCCAAGATTTGTGATAAATAGAAAATTTTTAAATAGTTTATTCCTAGATTTCAAATTCTACTGATCCTTCTTTTTGCCATATATCTAGATATGAGGATTATAATGACATAGTTAAAGATCTGGTGACATTATTCAAGGTTTTTCTTTCTACTTAGTTAAACCAAAACCTGGAAGCTAGCTGACTGCCAGACAGATCTCAGAGCTGGCAGATCTCAGAGCTGGCAGATCTCAGAGCTGCACTTCTCAACGGAAAAAATAATGGTAAAAATAGAATTCCATGAGCCCCGGGGAAGATTGGCAGATTTCCTTCATTTTCACTGGATTTTATATGTATTTTATACAGAGGATAAGGGCGTGCACATGGACCACAATGGACTGCAAAGGTTTAATCCTATTGAATCAAAGTTAAAGATTTTATTGCTATAAGTCTTGATTTAAATAGGTTGCGGTCATATTTCTGCTTCCTCAATTTACCTATTTACCCAATTTCTTTTTTAATTTACAAATACTCTTCTATATATAATGTTCTTAAATGCGTCACTAAATAAAGAGTATATGATTTAAAATCAGAATTTATTTTAATAATACTATAACTAAAAGTATATAGTCAGCAGGACTCAGTCCCAAAGATGGATAGGATTGGCTCGAACCGTGCATCCTGATCAACACTGCTATGGTCGGCAGCTCCCAGCTTATCATGGCCCACAACTGGTTTATCAAAAACTCAAAATTCCAAACTCATTAGAAGAAAAATTATTGATTTGTCCCATTTAACAAACTTTCCTAAAATGATCATCCTAGGTTATAATGAGGCTCGTACTTCGAGTGGAGTTATTTAAATAATTAGAGGAATGGAACTTTGGTTAGATTATTCATGGAAATATAAAATTAATAATTTAAATTACATAGTTTTAGTTAAAACAGCCAAAATTAGCAATGTATCCTGTATAATTTACAAAGTTGTAAAGATTGAAGAGGGTTAGAGTGGCCGAAACGGAATCCCCTGAAATAGTGTAATTTTAATTTGTAATTTTAAATTTTAAATTTAAAAAATGTGCTTCCTCAAAGGGGCACTGGACCCTTTTTAAGCATGGGTTCAGTGCCCCTTGAATTTATTTGAGCTGAACGTAAGCACTACCGAATGTTTCAAATAAACAATTTCTTTCTTCACAAATAATTCTTTATAAATACTGCTCTAAAATGCGTCACTAAATAAAGAGTGTATGATTTAAAATCTGATTTTATTTGAGTTGAATGTAAACACTACCGAATCTTTGAATTAAACACTTTGTTTTTCTCTTCACAAATAATTCTTTATAAATACTGTTCCAAAATTTGTCACTTAAAGTATATGATTTAAAATCGGAATTTATTTGAGTTGAATGTAAGCACTACCGATTGTTTTAAATAAACTAATAGTTTCTTTTAATTATTCAGTTTGAACAGAACTGAAACGCCTCCGGAACTAGCAGAAAACGGCGACAAATTGCAACGCCGAGAAACCAAGATCTCACAAGATAAGGGGACAACGAAGAGACTGAAGTCTTGTCTCTCTCTCTTTCTGTCGACCATCCATGTTTATATAGCTGAAATGTTAACAAGGAACCTCAATGATCCTAGTTAGTACATTTCCTAAATATGTTGCCTCAATACTAAAGAGCTAACATAATTGCTCTTTGGTTTAAAAGATACTAACGATGAACCATCAATGTTCTTATTTAGTATATTTCTTAATTATTA